AAAAAAAAATAATGTATTAAAATATTATTTTAAATTAAGATTATATTATATCTTATTATTTTAAATTAATATTATTAAAATATATACATATATTTTTACTTGTAACAACGGGACGAATTTTGATACATTCACACTTCACAGTGTTACAAGCTCAGAATGAAATCGCATATGAAACGGGGAACATAATACAAACATGATTTGAAAAAAAAAACATTATCCAATATAAAGCAATTGTTATATAGTATACTACTTAATTCCTATAATAAGCACGTCTTATTTAAAAAAGCAATGAATAATGCATTTAAATAATGAAAAATTAATATTTTTGTTCTAACTTTTATTCATACAATGGCAACTTTGTTTTTATTCCCCGATGTAGAAAATTTCAAATCATTCGTAAACTTTGTGTTTGACGAGTGCCCATCTTTCTTTTTCTGTGTGATTTCTGTGACCCTGCTTTTCTTTTTCGGACTATTGTGTGATAACTTTTACGACGACCTTTGCCTACTATACTACGCCATGTCTAACAGAACCGAAAATTTGAAGCGGAAGAGAGATCCAACCTTTGTCGCAAGTGAAAAAATGGCGTTAGTGGATCTGGTGGAGAAACACTTTGCTATTGTAGAGTGTAAAAAAACCGATGCCACAACAATACGCAGCAAAAATCAGGAGTGGCAAAAAATTGCAGAAGAATTTAATTCTGTTTCGTCAGTCCATCCAAGAGAATGGATTGTTTTGAAAAACTGCTGGGAAAACTTAAAGAAGAGAGCCAAAAGTGAGCAGACAGCACGTAACCAACATTATTTGGGAACAGGTAAAAAAGTCATTGAATAATATTAATCTGAAAATGTTTGATGTAACCCAATAATAAAAACCGAAAATATTTGCTATAGTTTCAAGTTTGTTGTAAGTTGCTGTTACTTAACTTCACATTCTTTTTCATATTTAAGGAGGAGGTCCACCCAGGAAATTGACTGTAGATCCAGCAATCGATCGAGTTCTAGATCTTATCCAGACTAGAGTGTCTGGATTTGTTAATGTGTATGACTCCGATGGCACTCATATTTTAGGTAAGATTTTTCACAAGTCTAGAACTTTTTATTATCTTTATATTATTGTATATAGTTACTACTTTACTTGTTAGACCTTAGACACTTTGAATTGGTTATACCAACTTGGATATCATCATCATGGACTCGTGCACATACACATCAACTTTGCTGATGATCATAGCATTACATAATGCAATGCATAATTTATGGTCGCGCCATGTCTGACAAAACCGAAAATTTGAAGCGGAAGAGAGATCCGATCTTTGTCGCAAGTGAAAAAATGGCGTTAGTGGATCTGGTGAAGAAACACTTTGCTATTGTGGAGTGTAAAAAAACCGATGCCACAACATTACGCAGCAAAAATCAGGAGTGGCAAAAAATTGCAGAAGAATTTAATTCTGTTTCGTCAGTCCATCCATGAGGATTGTTTTAAAAAACTGCTGGGAAAACTTAAAGAAGAGAGCCAAAAGTGAGCAGACGGCACGTAAGCAATATAATTTGGGAACAGATAAAAATCATTGAATAATATTATTGAATAATAATAATCTGAAAAGGTCATAGTTTATGGTAACCCAATAATAAAAACCGAAAATATTTGCTATAGTTTCAAGTTTGTTCTAGTTTCAAGTCTATAGTTTCAAGTACACTCCAACAATGTTGAGAGCACCAGTTACCACAGCACTTGTTGCCTCAAGGAGTCCATCACCTGAGGCAACTGGCAGTAGAGTGGAACCAACACCACATGAAAGAACAACTATCACTCCACCTAGGTTAGTAATATTATAAACTGTTCATTATCTCTTTGCATAAAATATACAATTAAAATTCAAGTAAGGAAGTAAACTGTTTCAATAGAAATCACTACAATATTAAACTATTAGCTGTTATTATAAGTATTTTTTTTTAATTTATTTAATAAAATTATTGTTTAATTGTTGCAGAGCTATATCCACTGAACACCCTATAGCGACGGCAAGTCGCAGAAGGCCAATTTTAAGGCGTGAAAGCCTTAACGCGCAACGCATCAACACATTACTAAATTGTAATAAAAATGCTGATGAAGAACATGCCGCAAATATGGCAATTTTGTGGCTTTAAGAGCAGAGGGAGAAAGAAATGCTGGTACAAGAAAAATTAAAAACTGAGCAAGAAAACATAAAACTAGACATTTTGAAATTACAATTAAAAAAATTACAAGATTATTTAGTTTTTTTCTTATTATTCCAGAGCAATTTAATTTAATTCAAAGCAACTTCAAAATTAACAACATCAATTTACTGTTACTGATGACTATCTTTTTCAAGTTTCAAAATCAAATCATTTATCTATTTCAATAGTCCATAAACAAGCACTTTTGCAATGTCTAAATTGAAATTGCCCATCAGTGAAGCTAGGTGCTCTTTTCAAAATGTAAATTTATAAATATAGTGCAATGATTGTTCATGAAAAAAATTATGGTTGATTTCAGACTGACAATCAGAAATAATGTTTCAAATAATTTATTCTTGGAATTTGAGCAGCTACTGACTTGAGTAATGTCCAATGGTGCTGGGCCAAATATTTATCTTGTTAGTCTGAAAAGATAAACATATAATTATTTATTTATCCATAAAAGGTATAATATACAAAAAAAAAATATTTTTTTCAGAAAAAATAAATAGTAAGTAAAAGCAAACAGTAGTTCGACAGTTAAATTAAAATCCTGTTTGCACATTTGTTTTAATTTTTATATAATAGAATAGAATATTTTTAATTAACGGACATACAGAACACCAATAGATTATGTACTTATATTACATACAACTGACTGCCTCATGGGCTGAGTGGTCCCAAGTGTGACTGCAGGGCAAGGGGGTCTCGGTTCCCGGTTCAGGCAAAGTATTACTGGGTTTATTAAAAAATTCTCAGTAGTAGCACGGAGTTTGGAATTGTGCCTGGTATATGTCAATAGGCTCACCCCCTATTATATGGGAGTCCTAAAATAAATAATGAAAAGTAGGTGTTACATTTGTACAGTGGCATTAAGTGCTGTGATGTGCACTTCTGCCTACCGCTTCAGGGATAAAAAGCGTAATGATTTAGTAATGATTACATACAACTGTCAACTCACCGTCCAAAGTAGTTTGTGATAAGTTCATTACGTCTTCTATAATTTGGATTTGTCCTGTATGATTGTCCTTTATTAATATTTTCACTGCTAATATCACCCTGAGTTATTAATGCATCCCAAGAATCTGGATTTATAATTTGGTTGTCATTAGGAGGTATGACTTCACCACTTCTTCTTGCAATATTGTGTAGTACAGCAGTAGCAATGATGATTGGGAAGCTATTCTGCACAGAAACTCCCAACCCCGTAGCCATGGCTGGGAAACGTCTTTTCCATATTCCAAATACTCTTTCTATACAATTCCTCGTTCTAATATAAGACTCATTATATAAGTCTTCTGGACCATTACTGCATTGTTCTAATGGAGTCATCATGTAACTGTTACACGCATAACCTGCGTCTCCTACAAGAACAGCATTTCCATAGTGTCCCTGATCAAACAATGCCCGTCTATAGCAGTTGTTGAAGATATATGAGTCATGTGTGCTTCCTGGCCAACGAGAGACCACATCTGTAAATTCCAATTTTGCATTGCAGATGGCTTGAACGTTTAAAGAAAAGTAGTTTTTCCGGTTACGGAATATCTCTGGATTTTCGCCACCTAAAAATATATTTATTATGCATACATTGCGAGGATATATTATATAAATATGTGTTAGTTAGTTTAGTATACATTTATAACATCTTACCTGGTGACTTGATAACCTTTACATGTGTGCAATCTATAGCACCAATAACATATGGGAATTTAGCTCTTTTGGAAAATTCAATTTGTGTTTTGCGTATTTCATCTGTTAATTCAGGAAAGTAAATATGGCGCGGTCGGAGTGAGGCAATAGCAGCACTGACTATGGGCATTAGATGTGCTAAATTAAGCTAAATTGCATTCTATGGGCAGTAGATGTGCTAAATCCACATAAATCAGCAGCTGTCATTTGATAGCATCCAGTCGCATAGAAACGCAGAGCGCATGGTAACTGATTGATGGGAGACACACTACTATTTCTGAAACAAGTAAATTAGCCATATAAGAACTTATTGCTTGTAAAATATGTAAATAGTAGTAGGTAAGGAACTAGATTCATCAAACTATGTAGGTTTCTAATATTGAAATGAAAAATCATACTTACATATTTGTAGGAAATTTTAATTTATCTTCAATAGACTCCAATACATATAGAACTGTTGGTTTTGTGAGACGAAATCTTGTTGTAAAATCTTTATCATCAATAGTGTCGAAATGTTCTTCTCTCACTCGAATCTATCTCGGACGACGAACTAGCAAATAAACAAAAAATTTAATTTAGCCGGCAGTGTAAGTAACTAGATTCCTTTTTTTCTTATCTCTAAAGAGATGGGTACCAACTACAAAACTTTTTGTTTCAGGATTGTGCAATGTGGCCTGTCAGCCCTGAGCACGCCATCTCGGTCACCGATGGTGCGTTCTTGTCCTCGCTCTCGTCAGATCTTAAATGATAATGATATCGACTTCGCACTACATCATGGTATGTAGCAACTAGTTTCAGCTTTGTTGAAATTTTTGATCTTTACACACCTTGTACACAATTTGGCGTAGACCAATTATCTAAGCCTATTAATTATTTGTTACAGGAAGCGATGCAATCTCTGACGAAAGCGACGATGAGGTGGTGTCCCTTAATTCCAAGGGATTTTAGAAGCACACTGGAGACACCAATGGACGATGATGATGTGCCTGCACAAACTCCTACAACCATAAATACGCCCGCTATGGCTAGCACATCGTCTGTTGTGGTGGATGTTGCTTCGGCGGACACGCACCAGCCAGATAGCTTTTATCGATTTGATTGGAAAACGTTTCCAAATCCTCAAATTCCACCAGAATCGAGGAGGGAAACATTTTCCGAAAGCAATGGTCCAACAATTCCACATGTCGAACCATATGAGATATTCGTGTCTATATGGGATCGTCAATTTATGGAGTACATTGCCTCGGAAACAAACAGATATGCTCAGCAGGTGGCACAGGACATGATGAACAACAACAGCCTTCATCCCAATAGCCGCATTAGCCAGTGGCATGATACCACAGCCGACGAACTGTATGTTTACTTCGGTATTATAATTGCGATGGGGGTTGTTGTTAAATCCAGATTAGAAGAATAGTGGAATACCACTGCTGATATATTTTGCACCCTCGGTTTTGGCGCTCATATGGGGATAAATAAATTCATAGTTTTAAATAAATTCTTACATTTTAGAAACAATCAAGAAATGAGAGCGTCCGAACTGGCTGTTTCCGAGGCCAAATTATTCTAAATTATGCCAGTACTGGAACACCTCAACCGGAAATTCCAAAATATATATAAATTGGGTCAAAACATAGCTTTGGACGAATCTCTTCTGCAGTGGAAAGGTTGGTTAGATATTAACCAGTTAGTTCCCAATAAAGCTGCTGTTGTGGGGATAAAATCTTATGAGATTTGTGAATCTCAAACTGGTTATTTGTGGCGGTTTGAAATTCACGCTCATAGGAGATTTCCACAACAGCAGCCGGAAGAGCCATTAAACGCATCCACGCCTTCAACTGTCTTAAGACTTACACATAGTCTTGAGAACAAATGCCATACCATGAATTGACATGAAATTGTATAAATTATTATGTGCAAAAATAATTCATAATAATGTTACAGATACTTAGTACGTTATCATTTTATGCCACTGGATCTTACCAGCGTTTGGTTGGTATGACTATGTATTTGGGCCAAACCACAATCAGTAAATGTGTCCAGGTCACTGATTGTATCCTCTGGGATATTAAACACAGTTGCTAAATTCCAAAATATAAGACATGAAAGGGATGCAATAAAATACAAGTTAGTATGATATGATCATTACCTACATTAATTGTAAATTTTTATTAATAAATTCAAAATCATTTATTAATTTTTTAAACGTTATATTAGCTCTTGTCAGCTTTCAAAATCATAACATAGTTCGAATAAATAAATTGGATGATTTACAATATAAATAATTAGAATGTATAGAATAAGAAAGTGACTAGGTTAAATTAAACTTAGTTGGATTTTAAAGAAACTAGAATTAACAATTGAATTTATTTCATTACTGGTGGGATAATTCTTTTTATATTTTGTCTTCCAGATTTTTTGCAAAATATTTCTAGCTTCCCTGGCGTGATCCCGTATTGATGGCACCCACTTCCATATTTTTACACCAAATAAGGAGAGGGAACATTTATTTTACTGCAGAAAACATTTCCATTCTCTAAACGTGCAACTGGTAAATGCTACTAAACAATAAGTAGGCACTTGTGGCAAATTGATGAAAATTTAAGTAATGATTTTAATTTCGTTTCAGATTTGTGACAGCGACTGTCGTATATAAATGTAATTGCCAAATGCGGAGGAGCTACCCATAATACATTTATTTGGAAAAACAATGCAGCCAATAGCTACCTGCAGAAGTTGCACCAGAACAATGAACCAGTGTGGTTGTTAAGTTAGTAGATACCATATAATGGTAAAATGAAATCAATAGGAATCGAGCAGCGGGTGAAACCGCGTGGAAGTAGCTGGTATTATAAATTATGTTTTCTAATAAGTATTTTTTACAAGTGATTCTGGCTACCGACAACGGCCATGGCTAATGACGCCTATTTTGGATGCGGTAAAGGAAACTCCGGCTTACAAAATATACTGCGGTGCATGGAAAGACCAGGGTTGTAGGTAATTGAAAATACCTTTGGACGATTAAAAAACTGTTGGCAATGCTTGTGCAAAGACCTTTCCATTATGTACCCAAAAAATGTGCCAATATCATAACGGCTTGCTGCGTGTTGCATAATTTGGCCATAAATTACAATCTGCCTGAGCCACAACTAGATACAACCACAACAGCTGAACCTCAAGTCCCTCAAGACATGCCTAATGCCTCATCTTCTGGTGAAAGACAAGAAAATGATAGAAGCGATGATTTGTTAAGTTGAAGGGTGTAATTAAGGAATATTCTTGTAGATCTAATAAATAGACTGCACAGATGATCCAAATGTTTTACTATTATTAATTACCAAAAACATCTTCCACGCTAATCTTAAAAACTATTCTAACCTAAACTTTCCTAATTTCAAAATGTAGTAAATAAATAAAATTTATACATTACTCATCGTCGGCCTAATTCGTTAACCTGCTAAATCCATTTTTGGCTGTTTTTTTTTTTAGTCCAGATAAAAGTTCAATCTAATATCTACCGTAATTTAAAGCAATAATAGTGATATTAGCTAAAAATTCTGAGAAATCCTATGCTCGAAAAACTGCTTTCTGACCACCCGTCAATCTCCACAACGCAAACCTGTTAAATCCTGTTGGGGCCTCAGTTTTGTACTAACATCGTTACCAGACTCACGTGCCGTTTGCGACGCGTAAAACTTATGGTGTTTTAGGCGAATATATAAGGATGTAAACAACGAATTATATACCTAATTATACACTAGGTAAGTTTATATTGTTTTATCTGTAAGTTTTTGTTTCGTTTAGTGTTAAAATCAAATGTTTTTAATCTTAATAACTCCTTAGCTAAATATTAGGGACTTAGCAGGTTTACATACTATATTAACTTATTTGGACATGGATATGGCAGAGTATCAATTTAGTATTTTTAATTAATTATTTGCTTTATTATTGATAATTATGAACATGTTACTCATTAAATCACTACATAGTATAAAATAAAGCCTGTCTTTCTGTCTGTACTTATATAATTAGGCTAAAAACTTAAAAACTACGAAACGGATATTGATTTGATTTTTTCCGATACTTACAGAATGCATCGGGGAAAAAAAATTGTGGCTTTGGTTTCTGAGGTTTGTGAAAGTGTGGCTGAAACAGCTGGAAATGTAGCTCCGAAGTCTGATTATAATTCAAATAAAGTAATACACGTTTTAGAAGACATTCAGTTACAATGTGCCGAATCAAGACAGTTTATACCAGAAAATTCAGATTTAGTTACCAACAAAACTTATTATGAGATAAATGATGACATCAATATAGGTTCACTGACTAGTCTTGATCTACCAAGTACTTTTATTACAGAAAATATAGACGATACTATTTGTCCTGACATGACATTTCCCAATACTACATTCTGTGACTTGTCTTCAGTCAAAATTTTGTCGGGTTATGATGCTCACAATACTTACATCACGGACCAGGATTTGATTATAGTACCATCACAAAGTGAAATAGAATTACAAGCAACACAGATTTTGATCCCAGATATTATAAGCAGTTCCGATACGCATACCATTCAAACATTAGGTAAAACAATATCTCATGAATCAAGTACCAGTACTATAGAAAGTATACCTCATGTTGAAAATACACATCATAACGTCGTACCTAATCCACCGATATCGGATTGTAGTGATACAGAGAACAAGCTTGTGCCTTATTCTGATACTGACTCAGATTCGCTTGCTAAAATTAAAAAGAGTAAGAAACGAAAGAAGCGTTTTAAAGTTGATAAAAAAGAATGGGTTGCTGAAAAGAATAAACAAAGAAGACAAGAAGGTAAAACATATTTTGGGAGAGAGAGAAAACAAGACTGTTGGAATTATAATAAACCCAAAGAAGCACGGTCCATGAAATCAAGATGTTCTTGTAAAATTGGGAAGTACAGTACTTTGAAATGTGAAACAATAGACGAAGATGTAAGAAGAAGCATTTTTAATAAATTTTGGAGTCTTAGTTGGGGCGAAAAAAAAACCCTTGTTAACGAATGGGTAACAACTATTCCGATTGTCCGGCCACGAAACCGAAACTCTGAAGGCACAACCAAAAGGGCTAACACCTTTATTTATCATTTAAAAGTAAATGATCAAAGTGTCAAAGTATGTCGAAAAATGTTTTTGAACACTTTGGATTTAGGAAGATGGACGGTTCAAAATTGGAAGAAGGAGTTTCCAATTCGACCTCCTAGTATGCTGAGACGTTCCACACAATCATCTGAAACTGCGTCGGAGCCGAAAGAATCCCTTATTCAGTTTTTGGAGTCTCTTCCTGTAATGGAATCTCATTATTGTCGAGCGACGTCACAGAAGTTGTATTTATTGCCAGAATGGAGTTCTAAAGAAAGCCTCTACCAATTTTACGTTAACGATTGGTGCAAAGAGCGAAATATGAAAGCTCTCTCCATCAGTTTGTTTTCGAATTTATTTGAAGATAAAAATTTGGCCCTATTTAAGCCGAAAAAAGATCAATGCGAAAAATGCGCCAGTTATAAAGTAGGAACAGTAACAGAAAAAGAATACAAAGAACATATTGAGCGAAGTAAACAAGCAAGAGAAGAAAAAGATGCGGATAAGAAGGGAGAAAATTACGTTTTCACAGTGGACTTACAGGCTGTACTAATGGCACCAAAATCGAATGTTAGTACGTTATACTATAAAACGAAGTTGCAAGTTCACAACCTTTGCTTTTTTAATATAAAAAATAAAGATGGCTACTGTTTCATATGGAACGAAGTAGAAGGTGGACTTAATGCTGAAGAATTTGCCTCCATTTGGGTTGACTTTTTAGAAAATAAAATAATACGTCCTGAAATTAATGCTGACGATGGGAATAAAACAATTATAATTTACAGTGATGGTTGCACTTATCAGAACAGAAACTGTATTTTATCTAACGCTCTTTTGAATATTGTCATGAGGCACAAGAATATTACTATCGAACAAAAATTTTTAGAAGTGGGTCATACCCAAATGGAGGCCGATTCTATGCATTCCACTATAGAACGTCACCTAAAGAACAAAGTCATAAATGTGCCCGCTGAATATATATCTATTGTTAAGCATGCTCGTAAATGCCCAGCACCCTATTGCGTGACATATTTGGACCACACTTACTTCAAAAAATTCGACAAAATTCAGTTTTATAAAAGTATTCGCCCAGGAAGATCGAAAGGGGACCTTAAGGTGACTGATATTCGTGCACTACGTTACGAAAGCAATGGATCTATATTTTATAAAACTTGCCTTAAGGATGAATGGCAAAGTTTACCACAAAGGCGATCTCTGCAATGTAATCCTTGCGAGATTACTGAACTATCTCAATTGCACCGGAGCCGACGTAACGTCGAAAATGTAAACATCTCCGATTCTGATGACTGTGAGTATCGAGAAATATATGCCGTTGCTTCTGTCCATGAAGAACCGAGAATCAGACAAAACACTACCGACTCTATTTCATACTCACCTTCTATTCTTCAACACGATCCTGATATTATACCGCCTTCGCCATCAGTTTATATTCCACCGTCACCATCAATAGACTCAATCTGCAGCCCCGCATCATTAGCACTTGCCGCATCTTCAGCCCCTGCCGCAGCTGCCGCAGCTACTGTACGTCTTCGGCGTTATAAGAAAACTCCGGTAATCGTAAAAAAAACCGTTTTGAAACCTACCAAACTGTCTCCTAAATGGACAAAAACGAAATTTCAAGGATCAGCAGTTATAGAAGATAACATGTTTTGCGATTCTACTGATATTGAAAAATCACCGCTTGATTATTTTAAGTTATTTTTTACTGACGATATACTAGAACTTATTGTATATCATTCTAATTTGTATTCTGTGCAGAAAAAGGGCACATCAATTAATATTACCAAAGAGGATATTAAAGACTTCATCGCTATAAATATTTTAATGGGTGTTGTAGATATGCCGGCATACACCGATTACTGGTCAAACGAATTTAAATACAGTAAAATTGCTGACGTCATGACGTTAAAGAAGTTTCAGTGTATTAGACGTTACATTCATTTTAATGACAACTTAAAAGATGACGGTGACAGATATTACAAAATAAGGCCACTAATAGAAAAAGTTCGTCGTAACTGTGCGTCCAATATTCCTGAAGGAAAACGTTTTAGCATCGACGAGATGATGGTGCCTTATAAGGGTACTAGAGCCGGAAGCCGAAAACAATACATAAAGAATAAACCCAAAAAATGGGGCTTTAAGTTTTTCGTTCGTGCTTCACCATCCGGCCTAGTACATGATTTTATCATTTATGGAGGAGAAGACACTTTCAGACTCCATACTTTTGCTGAAAAAGAAAAAAGTATGGGTCTTGGAGCCAAGGTTGTAATAGCTTTGGCCAAATCAATCAAGCAAAAACCATGCTCCGTACTATACTTTGACAACTTTTTTACGTCAATTGAATTGATGCATCATCTAAGGAATGAGTATGGTATATTCTCCTTAGGTACAGTCAGGACAAATCGGCTTCGTGGGGCAGAGAAAAAATTACCAAGTGATAAGGAGATGAAAAAAAAGGGCAGGGGAGCTTTTGCACAGGTCGTGTCAAACGAACACAACATCGCTGTTGTGAAATGGTTCGACAACAAGTGTGTGGTAGCTGCAAGTACTTATGTGGATGCTCACCCTGTACATAACATAATGCGATACAAGAAAGAAGAGAAGAAAAAAGGTCTCGTCACATGCCCAAATTTAATAAAGCACTATAACGCTAATATGGGTGGGGTCGATCTAGCCGACATGTTAGTTGCTTTATACCGTACTGATTTAAAAGGACATCGTTGGTATTTAGTATTATTTTCTCAGATTCTGGACATCTGTGTCAATAATGCCTGGTTGCTATATCGTCACGAGAACAGTGGTAAACAAAAACTATTGCAACTCAAAAAGTTTCGAGTCACTTTATTTAGGCAACTGCGTTTTTTTGAGAGGAGTTCTAATATACAACCAGATGCCATTTCCAAAACTGAGAGAAAAATAAAAAAGCCTGTTGCGGAGAGGCCTGATGATGCTACTCGTTACGACCTAACTGGACATCTTCCTGCTTTTATGACAAAAGGCAGATGTAGACTATGTACTAAACATCAAACCAAATTTTTTTGTCCAAAGTGTAACGCACGACTGTGTATAGTTGAAGGGCGAAATTGCTTTATAGATTTTCATATTAAGTAGTATTTAAGTTTTTCACATTGTTACATAGTAGCATGTGAGTAAACATTGATCTCAGAGCATTAGAACTGAATATTGTGATAAATAATAATATATAGTTTAGCTTTGTTTAAAAAAATGTCTACCTATGTCATAATATTGTAACCGTAGCAAACCTAGTTTCAAATTGATCTCAAAACTTGTTGATATTTTTCAATTTCAATATTATTTTTATGTTATTGTTTCTTTTTTAGTTTTTGTGATTACATGGCAGTGTGCATGTAAAGACACATATTTTTTTGTAGGTTTTTTCTTGTGAGCTTGGCAGTGTGCACTGGAAGACACATAATATATCCTGAAAACTGAAATTCACGGATTTTTTATTTTAATTTTCCTGATATCCTTATAATCCAATTAACACAGGGAAGTAGTAAAAGTTTAATTTTTTAAAGGTTAAATTCTCTGCCAAGTATAGGGTTAAGTCGGTACCTTGTTAATTGCGCGCTGTGCAACATCACGGACTACGTGACGAAGTAGGTATGTAGGTAAGTTCTTGCACTCGCCGCGAATATTGTAGGTATTCACATTATTGTTGTGCGATTTTTCAGATGTACAAGAAAATGTATCGGATAATATTAGCAGTACGTCGATGAATATATCTGGAGTTAGCAGTGAGGTGACTGAAGAGCAATTGCAGGCTGCCCAAATGTTAGATGACTTACTCACTCTTTCTGACCAGGATTCCAGTCCCATGATTTTCTAACTGGTATTTATTATTTAAAATATATGTCTGTATATTTGTTTAGATATGTGTTGTAACATCCAAATTCTCAGTCGTTATCATTTTTGTATATTGAAAATAAAAAGTTAAAGATTTCTTTCTTATAATTAGATAATACAACAAATTATATCATTAATGCATTCTTTCCCAGGTCACGAAACGTTGACTGATGAGGAGGATTTATGGATTACCCCAGAGCCCACCGAAGCAACCGATTTCAGCTCAGATGATAGTGTAGTTGATAGGACATACGCTCCTGAAATAGACAGTAGTTCCTCATCTGAGTCTCAAGGAAATGATGACCATAATGTTGAAGTTACTAGTATACCTGAAGAACATAATCAACGGCGGAAATCTGTAAGGGTAACAGGAATTTCAAGCCCTGATAAACGTGGGTCACATGTGCCTTCTAAGAAGATAACGGATGATGCAGTACAGGCAATTAAAGTTCACATTAATTCTTATCTAATAAATGAATCGCATTACAGCCAAAGTTATACAAACAAACGGTATTTACCTACACACCTATTTTGGAAATGTTTTTCGTGCTATGGGTCCATCTTTTAAGAAACTTTCTTTGGACACCTGCAATACATGTGACGCATACAAAATGAAAATTAAATTACCTTTGCCACCAGATACAGAAAGTTTGAAAAATGACCTTGAGACTGACAGGCAGAGGCTGATTCAGCTTATTCCATGAAAAAAAAAGGACAAAGAAGAGTCAAGCGATGTTAAAAGAGTTTATTTAACAATGTCTTCCAACCCCTTTTTTAAAAACCAATATTGTTTTCTACAAACGGCTGTTGTGGACTTATAATTTGACTATTTAGGATTGTTATAGCAAAAAAATATTTTGCTACATGTGGAGTGAAGCTGACGGAGGACGTGGAGCTAATCAAATGGCATCTTCGACTTACTCACTAGTTTCAAGCCATGCTAGAGGATCATATCAATGTGTAGCATTCTGCGACCGGGGACCGAAACTAGTCGAGTTCCTCGTCAAAGTTAAGTTTACAGAGTAAGCCGAAAACGTAATAATTAGTTTAGTCTGTCTTACGAAAGTATTAATATAAATAATGTAAGAGTAAACATACTTCTTGCCAGATGCCGCCCGCCCCGCCATTTAAAGTTTGAACACTTAAAAGTTTGCGTTTGCGATTTGTTGATAAATTATTATTTACAAGTATTTATTATATTTTCATTAAAACATAATGGAGATTGCCCATGAACAGTACTCTTGATAAATTACTGGTCGCCACGATCACGCCCACGAAAACTTCATTGACCGTAATGATTACTTTTAACTCTTACCCCGCCCATGGTAATTTTTCCAAATAAAAGATTACCTGGAGGAATTACTTCCAAAATTCCACGAGACTGGGGCGTGGGTCTGAGTAAAAATGAGTGGATGAACACAGAAATTTTCTTTGAATATATTAAGAACGTCTGGTTAAAATAGGCACTAAATTTCCAGTCATACTTTGTGTAGACTGTCACAAGTCTCAGTTAACTTACGCGGTGAGTGAACTGTATTCGACTTTACAGATAGTTCTAATAGCACTATACCCAAATTGTAAAAGGCTTTTACAACCGGCCGATGTAGCCGCATTTAAAACTCTAAAAACAGAATGGCAAGAAACTGTCTTAGAATGTCTAAGACAAGCACTAACTAAGATTCAATTTGCGCCATTGCTTAAAACCACAATAGGAAAAGTATAAAGCCGCAAACTATTATCAACGGGTTTAGAGCAACATGGATATGTGCATGGAATGAAGACTTAGTACAGTAAATGTCTAGGAAGTAAAGACACAAAAACAACGTAAGTGTGGGATAGCCATGCTTCGGCACGAATGGGCCGGCTCGACCGGACTGATACCACGGCCTCACAGAAAACCGATGTGAAGTAACGCTTGCGTTGTGTTTCATTGTGTGAGTGAGGCTACCGGAGGCCCAGCTACCCTCCCCCCTTCCCCAATCTCCCCAATCCCCGAATCCCCCACAATCCTCAAACTCCTAATCCCCAAAAGGCCGGTAACTCGTAACGCTTCTGGTGTTCCAGGTGTCCAGGGGGGACGCCGATTGCATCAGGTGATCCGTCTGCTCGTTTATCGGCTTATGCCATAAAAACAAACAATTTTACTGACATCATCGAAATAAACAAAAATTACTCTCAATAGAAAACTTTATTAATTTAGTACGCAAGAATAAAATTAATTACATAGGAAAAGGAGAATTCACATTAGAAGAGTCTATTGAATTGGTAAAATAAAAACTGGCACTTCTTCACATCATCAAATATTATTTCAATCGACAACAAAATCTAAACGTCATCATTATACTTGAAGTTATAAAAATGTTGAAGACTTTAATAATTTAGACATTGAAAATATGCAAATATTTATTAACGATTGCCCAAATAATATTGTTGAACCAGAAGACCCTGAGTTACAATCTATCTCAGAAGAAATTGTTTTTGAGTAGATCATAGAGTACCTGAAACGTAGAGTGCTCAGGCACTGCTTGAGCACTCTACGTTTGTTTTGTAATGTACATACTACAAATAGTATATTTTAAGTGTAGGTACATAGTAAATACTTAGTACAATGCCTCATTCGTCGAGTATGACTACGACACTTATAATTTATGGGTCGGGAAAAGTATGATTGGGTTTTCAGATAGATAGTGATTAGTTTTTTTTAGATAAAATTGTTGATGATAATAATGGGTAATAGTACGACAACCGTAGCCTTTCCTTGCTGGTGCTGAAGAAATAAGTAAGTCACTTTCAAACATGATATGGGAGGTCGTATCAGATGATAATGACGGCGCCCAAGGAATACCCCGGGGCAGTCCAATACCAAATGTTATATACAATCCACCTGCCGAGGATATTTATATTAATTAACCTAGTACATTTCCTATAGAAGCACCATCCAGTTTTAAAAACTCACCTTTAATACAGCTAAAAGAACTGTTAGAAGTACCTCACCCGCACGGATCAACTTCATCTACTCTGACAATACCAACTCCTATACCATCGCCTATTAAAACTTATGCCATGTGCAACAGTAAATTCTGCCCTAGTCACATAGATATGTCACGGAGAACCTAACGGGTTATCGGGGCTCCGGCTCGACGTGCAGGAGAAGGAACTCCCTCCCGCCTCAGCCAGGCGGGAGCAGTCACTTTTATTTTTTATAAAAAAAATTTTAGATTTTTTTATTTTTTATTTATTTGGACTCCCAACAAAAGATACACTTAAAAAAAAAAAAGTAAAAAAATCCACCACACGTTACAATAACCTTGTGATCCTTCGATAATAAAAAAAACTTAATAAAAAGTCACATAGATATAGATGTTTGTCTGTGCTTTTTTTGCCGTTAAAAAAAACATATTCAATTGCTTCTTCACACACAAGTGCTCGCACATTAACTATTCATTGTAAACCCAGGACACAGTAAATCCACACACATCGAAAGACCAGAAGAAGAAAACACACAGATGAATAAACCTTACAACACAATCCGTGATTTAGAGAACATTACGTTCATGTATGATCAAATTGTCAAATCCAATTTTAGCTCAATATACATACAAGATGATAAATTCACTACCAGATCAAAATAAAGTTTAACGTACTCGTAAGAGTTAAACAGTCGCAGAATAAAGATTTAAATTTGAGAGAATTTAATACCAATACTGATCATGAATCAGAGTTTAAAATAAAAAACAAATTATTTTACCTAAGACAAAAAGTAAGTCTTTCTTTAGTACTAATGGCTTGTCGAAATGTTGTGCTTTTACAAAACTTATTACAGATCTCTATCTGTAATAAGTTTTGTAAAAGCACACCCCATACTACAAATACAAGCCAAATACAGTGCTGGAAAATGAGAATTTCAAATTATATTGGGACAGAACTATAATAACAGATAAGAGGATATGCAACAATAGGCCAAACATTACATTGTTAGATAACCAGAATAGTGTAGTATATATAATAGATATAGCTATATGCAATACACACAACCTTGTCAGCACACATACAGAAAAAATCGCAAAATACACCGATTTATCTATTGAAATTAAAACACAGTGGACCGTTACCCAAATTAAAACCATTCCCATAGTATTACCCACAAGAGTCATTCCAAAAACTCTTCACAATAGCCTGAATTTTTTAAATATTAGTCCATCTACTTATCTCCTCTTATAAAAAGCCGTTATTTTGAATAGATGCTGTCTTACCCGCAAGTTTTTAAATACCTAAGTATTTTTTTTTTTTTTAAGGGGGGAAAATCATCGAATGACTGCCCCCGCCTGGGTGAGGCGGGAGGGAGTGTCAGACTCTTACTGACTAAAAACCACCCCGTTCCTTCTCCTGCACGTCGAGCCGGAGCCCCGGTTACCCGTTAGGTTCTCCGCGACTCCGAATCGGCATCGGCCCTATTGGGCCCCATCTGTGGTGGTCTGATGGCTCTTTGAGGCGCGCGCGGAACGCGACGCGCCGTACGCTCGGGTCTGTTTCTGGTCGGACGGGGAGCCACCCATGCTCGCCGTCCGCAGGCCCGCGCTTACGGTGGCCGGAGATCGTCCCGCGATCCCCGACGCCCGGTGTGTCCTTCGCGATAGCTGGGTTGCGAGGAGGCAGCGCTTCGCTGCCTCACGCGTCCCGCCTCCTCCTTAGCTAGCATGACTGCTTCGCAAAAGGAGGAGACGGCATCCCAATCCCCCTCGCTCCGCATCATGGCCTGCACTAGGCCCGGACGCGAGAGGTCGCCATCGCCGATCACTTCCCTGAGGACACGGCGGTGCTCAGCCCACGAAGGGCATTCTCCTACCGTGTGTTCCACCGTGTCCTCAGGGCGGAAATACCTAAGTATAGCACTTCTATTTCGCACTTGGCTTCGGACCGTGCCTATTTTAACCCCACTCGATGGGAGAAATGCAGAGCATAAACGGAAATAATTATAACTTTTATTTCAGACCATAGAGATAGTAACAATTGACTTAAACTAGTATTAGTAGAAATAAACACACAATTAACGTATGGCGTGGAATTGCATCCACCTTTGCATCATCGGAGAATCCGACCGATCTGCGAATACACTAAGAATACTGTTGGTACCGCCACGTATACGTGTCATCAGAGAAGCACATCTCTTTCTAATAATAGCGGCGAAACCATCAATACCAGCATCCGCAAAAATATCTGATGCACTGCAGCGCCACGGCAGCCCCAACAGCTTCCTCAATGCATTATTGTATTGGATACGCAGATCGCCATATGTCCGCCGAGTGAAACCGACCTACAGGCTGCAAGTGTAGAAGGATTGGCAGTATGCA